CGCCAGCGCGGCCGCCGAGGCGGCGGCGAGAGCGGGGCGGCGGCGCGCGGAGCGGGCGGCGTCCCGGAGAGAGGAGGAGTAGTCGTGCAGGAGGGCGCGGAGCCACAGCGCTGCGGGGCGGCGGGGGTTAACGGGTTAACGGGGATGGGGTTAAAGGGGTTAACGGGAACGGGAAGGGTTAACGGGGATGGGAAACGGGGACGGGAGGGGTTAACGGGTTAACGGGTTAACGGGGACGGGGATGGGGAACGGGGACGGGAAGGGTTAACGGGGATGGGAACGGGTTAACGGGTTAACGGGGACGGGGAACGGGGACGGGAATGGGGTAACAGGGGTAACGGGAATGGGGATGGGGTTAACGGGAACGGGAAACGGGGACGGGAGGGGTTAACGGGAATGGGGTAACGGGGATGGGGATGGGTTAACAGGGTTAACGGGTTAACGGGGATGGGGATGGGAAACGGGGACGGGAGGGGTTAACGGGAACCGGAATGGGTTAACGGGAATGGGGTAACAGGGATGGGGATGGGTTAACAGGGTTAACGGGAATGGGGATGGGGTTAACGGGGACGGGAAACGGGGACGGGAGGGGTTAACGGGGATGGTTAGGGGGGCCGGGGGGGGTTAACGGGGACGGGAAGGGTTAACGGGGACGGGAAGGGTTAACGGGGACGGGAAGGGGTTAACGAGTTAACGGGGAACGGGGTTAACGGGAACGGGGATGGGGAACGGGGACGGGAGGGGTTAACGGGGATGGGGATGGGAAACGGGGACGGGAATGGGTTAACGGGGTTAACGGGAATGGGAATGGGTTAACGGGAACGGGAAACGGGGACGGGAGGGGTTAACGGGAATGGGGTAACGGGGATGGGGATGGGTTAACAGGGTTAACGGGAATGGGGATGGGGTTAACGGGAACGGGAAACGGGGACGGGAGGGGTTAACGGGGATGGGGTTAAAGGGGTTAACGGGAACGGGGTAACGGGGATGGGAAACGGGGACAGGAGGGGTTAACGGGGATGGGGATGGGGATGGGAACTGGGGACGGGAACGGGTTAATGGGAACCGGAATGGGTTAATGGGAATGGGTTAATGGGAATGGGAATGGGTTAACGGGGTTAACGGGGATGGGGAATGGGAAACGGGAAACGGGATTAACGGGATTAACGGGAACGGGAATGGGAATGGGTTAACAGGGACAGGAATGGGTTAACGGGAACGGGAACCGGGAATGGGAAACGGGAATGGGAACCGGAATGGGTTAATGGGAATGGGTTAACGGGAATGGGAACCGGGGATGGGGATGGGAACGGGTTAATGGGAAGGGGTTAACGGGGACAGGAATGGGTTAATGGGAACGGAACCGGGAATGGGAAGGGGGACAGGAATGGGTTAACGGGAATGGGAAACGGGACGGGAACCAGGGACGGGAACGGGAAACGGGGACAGGAACTGGGAACGGGAACGGGAACGGGAACGGGGTTAATGGGAGCGGGAATGGAACGGGGTTACCGGGGAACCGGGGACGGGAACCGGGAATGGAACAGGAATAGGAATGGGAACCGGGGACGGGAACCGGGGGCAACGAGGGAGGTCAGGGGGGTCAGGAGGGGTCAGGG